CCCCAAAACCCCAAAACCCCAAAACCCCAAAACCCCAAAACCCCAAGTATAAATAGTGGGAAATCGTATATATCGATTATAAACTTTATAATTAATTAATAGAGCGAAGGTTTGAAAATGGACAAAGAGGATGAAATTGAGAAAGAACTCAAGAGATTGGGTTGCTCCAATGCTTCATCAAAGGCAGAAACTGTGAGTAGGGCCTCTGATAGAGGAAATAATTAAATATCTACTCATACTTCTGAAAAAAACGCTTTGAGTTTAAAGAGTGAGGAGGCTTCGGGAAATCGCCAGGATGAACTTGGTAAGCATTAATAGCAATAGGCAAATTAAGCAAAGTAAGTCAATATCAATCTAAAATTATTAGATTCGGAAATATCGGACTGCTTAACAGAAGCTTTAATGTCCCTGATAACAAAATTAAACGTGAAGATCAAAAAGAAATTATGGGCAATGGATAAGGATTACCTGGATCTGCTACATCTGATAGAACTCAAAAAGGCTCAAACCAGTTTTATGCGACTAACAAAGTTGAGCCTAAGATCTAAGGAACTCATGGTCACTAAACTATGATGCACAATGCGAGTGGGGCTTTTGGAAGTGCTGGCTAGCATAATTTTCAAGCTAGAAATAATTCATAGGTACCAGTTATCACTAAAGACGTATGTGCCATTTAAAATTTATAATTATTATTTGATACTAATTAAGCAAACTTCTGTAACAAATATTGATATAGGGAAGGCCAGCTTTCCCACCGATGCCAAATAATGCCAATCCAAGATTTGGAAATCAATCTCAAGGCATGTATCCACAGTAATAAGGATTGGTGAAACCATAGGCTATCGTTGGAACAATGATGCCTGCTGACGGTCAACATAGAGGCCATGAATTCTAAAGAACTAATTTTAACAATGCTCCTTTTCCTGGTCAATAAGTTGCAATGATAAACAATGCCCCATCTTCACTGCTCTCCGGTTACAGACCAGGTGCTTCAATTGAGTCTTAGCAATTGGCTCAATAATAGCAAAATATGTAAAATTAAGACTAAAGACCCCAGCCAGTTTTGTAAAATATTGTATCAACAGCGAATCTTGGTATCAAGCTTGATTTGAGAAAGATCGCACTCAACTGTAGAAATGCTGAATATAACCCTAAGCGTTTTGCTGCAGTCATCATGCGTATCAGAGAACCAAAGACTACAGCATTGATATTCAGCTCAGGCAAGATGGTCTGCACTGGTGCTAAATCAGAAGAATTCAGTAAGGATGCTGCAAAGAAGTATTCAAAGGCAATCAAGAAGGTAGGATTTGAAGATGTAAATATGCAAGACTTCAAAATTCAAAATATTGTTGGCTCTTGTGACGTTAGATTCCCAATTTCACTTGAAAGTCTATCCTAAGAGCATGATAAGTTCAGTCAATATGAGCCTGAAATCTTCCCAGGTCTCATCTACAGAATGGCTAACCCAAAGATAGTGCTTCTAATCTTTGCAAGTGGCAAAATTGTCCTCACTGGTGCTAAGAACAAAAACGACATTACTCTTGCTTTCAATAATATATATCCTGTACTCTAGAAGTTCAAGAGGAGAAATACAAGATTAGTCCCTCCAAACTGACCGGCTTAAATCATAACCAGCTTATCCAGTAGATGAACTGAGTTTGAGTTTATAAATTAAATATCTTCCCAACAAAAATTTGTATGTGCTAAAACAAGTTTGTTTAATTGATTATTTATTCAACTTCTTCTGATCATTAAGGATTTATAATTGAGGGGTTTTGGGGTTTTGGGGAGATCGGAAGAGCACACG